TCACACCTGGCATCCTAGCTACACAGAAGGCTGAGATCAAGGTTTGAGGCCAGGCCTGGGCAAAAAGCAAGACCCTATGTCCAAGGTAACCAGAGCGGAAAAGGGCTGCAGGTGGAGGGTTTTCCTTTGTTTTGTTTTGTTTTTAAAACGAGATCTCAGTATGTGCCTCAGGCTGGCTTTGAACTTGAGCTCTGCTTCCACCTCCTGCATGCTGGGACTGCAGGTATGCGCCACGGCGCCCGGCCTCCTGTGGATTTAAACATCTCCAGATGGCTTAGCACAGCGTTCCGTTACACAGAGCTGTTTCCCCACTGTTCTGAACTGTGGCTGGGTGAACGCACAGAAGAGGAACCCACAGATCAGAGGCCGGCTGAGGCCCTGGCATGGTTTCAAAGAGGAAATGGGTGTGGCCAGGGTGGGGAAGCTGGTCACTGTCTCTGCCATGGGCACAGCCACAGAGTGACATCTGACTCGAGATGGGAAGAGGAGAGGAGGCAGGTACCCAGGGATGAGGAGGAAAGGCTCCCAGGAGGACAGGCAGCACAGCATGTTCAAAGGTCCTGGGGCGGGAAGGAGCTGGGAAGAGGGTGTTGGGGCTGGAGCAGGGGACGAGGGAGGCCCAGGGGCTGCAGGTGAGTTTTGGACTTGGCAGGGTTTTCAGTTCTGCATTGCTCCTGGAGCCACCAGAGGGAATGGGGACCGGTGGTATCAGGGAGGTCAAGACTGAGCTGGAAGAGCAGCTGGCCAAGTGGGGGGCAGGATCTGGAAGGTGAAGAGGGACTTCAAGGCACTCCTGAATTTTCTGGCTGTGTCTCGGGGGGACCCCTGGGAAGTAGCTGGGGTTTAAAGGGTGCTCCGGGAGCCTGGCCCTATGGCTGCCCCCCTGACCCTATGGGCTGGGAGCTGGATAGTTCTTCCAGGACACGGGCGCTGGCTGTGAGGATGGACTTGGATTTGCCGTTGTTTAGTCGTCCTTGTCCCGTGGAAGAGGCAGAAGGAAATAAATGGCAGACTGGACACTGCTGGGGCCCAGGGACAGGAAGGAAGCTTGCTGGCCTCCCTCCACCCCGCTTCCTCTGGCTTGAAAATATCGGTTTTGCTGACGGGGCCGGGACTGAATCAGATGCGTGGGTTGGAATTGCGGCTCTTGTCTCGGGTGAACCTGTGCGGTGACTCCGTCCAGCAGCCATGTGTGGAAATACAGCCTGGCGTGGGGAAGGGGGAGTCCCTTCTCACTCTGAGCCTTTTCTGCAGGCGGGCCCAGATTCTCAGGAATGGGGACCCGTTGTTCATTAGTGTCATTTGGATTCAACTTTTTTTTTTTTTTCTGGAGATAGGATGTCACTACGCAGCCCAGGTTGGCCTGAAACTCTGGATCGTCCTGCCTCGGCCTCCCAAGTGGCCTCCCAAAGTGGTGGGGAACCACTGTATCTGGCTCTTTCTTGTTTTGCTTTGGTGCTGGGGATGGAACCCAGGGCCACACCCAGCTCGGTGGCCAGGCTGGAGACGTGGAGAGAGAGAACAGCAGGCAGGGACACCTGTGGAGCCCGATGATGGCCGTGATGGCCGGGCAGGGAAGCCAAGGTGCCCCGGGCCTGCCATTCCAAGACATGGTTCTCATGCCAGGAACAACCAAGAGCGACCCCAGAGGCCTGCCTAGGTCACTGTCCGATGATAATGTGTGACATGGCCGGGGAACAGCACAGGGACCACACCTGTGACCACAGCTCCTTTGCTGCACAGGCAGAATAATGACCTTCCTTCACCAGAAGCACCATTCAAAGTCACCTGAAACAGAAACCATTCAAATGCCCACAGGTTCAAAAGCCCGGCGCTGGTGGCTCACGCCTGTAATCCTAGCTACTCAGGATCGCAGTTTGAAGCCAGCCCGGGGAAATAGTTCCACGAGACCCTTTAGAAAGAAGGGCTGGTGGAGTGGCTCAAGGTGTGGACCCGAGTTCAAACCCCAGTACCTCAAAAAAAAAAAAAAGAAAAAGAAAAAGAAAAAGAAATTGCCCACAGAAGATGGAGACATTGTGGTTGACTACTATACAGCCAGGAAAAAGAGCAGACTGTCAACCCATGACCCCACGATGGTCCCGACAGTCTTTAGGCAAAGGGACGGATTCTTCCATTTATGTGAGGTTCTGCTAATGCACACGGGGAGATGGAATCACCGCCATGCACCAGCTTCACAGAATGAAGGAGGAAATGTCACCGTCACCTCCACTGCGGCAGAAAACTGAACAAATCCAACATGAAGACACTCATCGAGTGGGCCCCACACGGGCTGGTGCGGCTCCGTGGTGAGGGGACACGGCGTCGTCTGCGAGCTCTGGGTTCATCCCCAGCACCGCACAAAAGAAACCGATGAGTGAATAAAGACGAGAAAGAAGAGCGCAGGCGTGTTTGTGGCTCTAAAGGGGGAAGCCTTGGCCCCGCCCCCGGGTCTCTCCCTTGGCCCCGCCCCCGGGTCTCTCCTTTGGCTCCGCCCCTGAATCTTACTATTGGCCCCGCCCCTGAATCTCACCATTGACCCCGCCCCGGATCTCTCCCTTGGCTCCGCCCCTGAGTCTCACTATGGGCCCCGCCCCTGGGTCTCACCATTGGTCCCACCCCTGGGTCTCTCCCTCGGCCACGCCCCCGGGTCTCTCCCTTGGCCCCGCCCCTGGGTCTCTCCTTTGGACTTGGCCCTGAGTCTCACTATGGGCCCCGCCCCTGGGTCTCTCCTTTGGCTCCGCCCCTGAGTCTCACTATGGGCCCCGCCCCTGGGGCTCTCCTTTGGATCCACCCCTGAATCTATTGGCCCCGCCCCGGGGTCTCACCATTGGTCCCACCCCTGGGTCTCTCCCTCGGCCACGCCCCCGGTCTCTCCCTTGGCCCCGCCCCTGGATCCCTCCCTTGGACCTGGCCCTGAGTCTCACTATGGGCCCCGCCCCTGGGTCTCTCCTTTGGCTCCGCCCCTGAATCTTACTATTGGCCCCGCCCCTGAGTCTCTCCCTTGGCCCCACCCCTGAGTCTCACTCCCTGTCAGCCTCAGATCTTGATCTTGTACCTCTGTCTCTCAAGTAGCTGGGATTACAGGCAGACGTTCATGACCACTCATGGCCCTCATCTTTCTACATTCCCTGACCTCAGGTCCACTGGTCAAGCACCAGCCTAGACGGTGCTGTGAAGGTGTTTGTGTATGTGGTTAACATCTCTGGACAGTTGACCTGGGGTAAATGAGTTTGTTCTCCAACCCTGGAGGGTGGGCCTTGTCCAATCAGTTGAAGTACTTTGGAGCTGACCGTGAGCCTCCCGGGGAGAGGGGAAGGGAATTCGGAATTCTCAAGCCTGCAACAGGAAATCCTCCTGGAGCATCCAATGTGCCAAGCGCCTGTGGACCTCACCCCCATCAGGGCCATGATCCCATGAGCCAATGGCTTAAAATCAGTCTGCTACAATCTATGCACACGTCCCGCTGGTTGTGTTTGGGATGCGAGCCTGCTGGCCTCTGCTGTCCACCTCAGCCTGTGCTGCTGCCCACGGGCCGGGTTCCCAGGACACACATCAGGGGCCTTGGGTTTCAGGTCCCTGGCAGGGGACACCGGTGCTGACTGAGCTGGTGTCCTCGCCCAAAATAACCCCAGGGGCCGGGTGCACCTGCTTGGTCCCCATCACCCAACAGCCCACGGCCCGGTCCTGGGCACTTACCTGGGGTTCCTGCAGGCTGTCTGAGTCTCCTAGGGTGTGCAAGGGATGTGACAGCCTGCGTCCACACACAGGCTTGGACAGGAAAGTTCATATTGGCAAAGGCAGCAAGAAGCCATGTGTCCACCAAAGGATGGATGGAAAGACACAAGGTGATGTGCACACAGTGCACTAATACTCAGCCATGAAAAGGACTGGAGCACTGACACCTGTACAATGAACCTCACAATGCTGAGTGACAGGCCCAGACACGAAGGCCGCATGGAGTGTGACCCAGCCATAGAAAATGTCCAGAGATGGGAGGCAGAGCAGCGGCTGGGGGTGATGGCTGATGGGACTGGAATGCTCTGGAGCCAGACACAAGAGGTGGTTGATGAGGATTTCATATTAACCAGAGGCTGGAAGCGGGGTGTCAGGCCTGGAGTCATCAGGGATGACTGGCTCTCCTCCTGTACACACATCCCCGCCTCGCAACGCCTCAACCTCCCGACCGTGTGAGAAGCACGGCGCTGGGCAGAAGCCACCCTTGGACTTGGCCTTTCCTCCGGCCCAGCTGCACCGCAGCCCATAACTGCATCCCAAGTCACGGTGGGACGGCCTTTCTCTGCCGCAAGCAGGTGCAGGCACTGGGGTAAACTGAGGCTGGGCAGGGTGGCTGTGCTTGTGATCCCAGCACTCAGGAGGCCGAGGCAGGAGGATGGCGAGTTCCAGGCCAGCCTGCTTCTCACCTGAGCCTGGGGGCAGGGACATGCCACACTGGCGAGGAGCACCCTCTCCTGGGGCTGGAAGTGGCAGGTGCCAGCGTCACCTGGAACTGGGGTTCCAGTGTCAAACGTCCTCAGGGCATGGGAGACAGGAGCACACACGTGGAGCATGGGTGTGTGGATTTGGCGGGCAACATGGCCCACGCCTGTAATCCCAGCTACTGGGGAGGCGGATATCAGCAGGATCATGGTTTGAAGCCAGACTAAGCAAAAAGAGACTCCATCTCAACCAATAACAGCTGGGTGTGGTGCTGCAGGCCTGCCATCCCAGCTATGAGGGAGATTAATGTGAGACCCTATTCAAAAAATAGCTAAAACAAAAGGGGCTAGGGTTGTGGCTCAAGCAGTAGAGAGGCTGCCTAGCAAGTAAGAAGCTCTGAGTTCAAACCCCAGTACCGCCAAAAACCACAAAAAACAGAAACAAAACCCCAAACCAGCAATGCACAGTGGAAAAGCCACTTTTCCAGCTACGGTGGTGAAATAAAACCACAGTGCAGTGCTTAGGCCGAGCTCCACCGTAGGCCCCGACCACCCAAGGCAAAACCAAGTCACTCACGCTAACATCACCATTACTAACTGGACACTGAGGTGTTGAGCTGACCTCCCGAGGTCAGGAGAGAGGAGAGCCGGTCCCCACACAGGCCACCACAGGAAGGTTGCCTGACTTCATCCTTCCACGGAAGGTGACCTGCAGTGCCCCGGGGCCCCACACGCCATCCCAGCTCCTCAGTGGCCAATAGCGCCACGGGACTAAGCTGCTGGTGCCGGCCCCTCCTGTCCAGCGCAGACTGCACGTGGCTTGCTCGAGGTCACCATCATGCTGAGCCAGGGCTCACCTCGGTGGGGACCTGGTCCCCACAGGATGGGCATCAGGATGCTGTGCGACATGGGGTTCCCAGGTGAGACCCACGCCCCAGAAGACAGCCCAACCCTGTTGAGTCCAGCCGATGTGACCTGCGGGACAGGGGCTCATGGGAGGCCCAGGGCTGTGACTGGGCACGGGACAGCCTCTCCACGCAGGAGTGGGAGGAGTTCAGTTCTTCGCGTCAGCCCAGCTGTACACCCAGGGTTGAGCTGGAAGTGAGCTTGGGACAGGTGCTGCCTGTGCCCCATGCAGAGAAACTGAGGTCCCGCCATCTGCGACAGAGCGGCCTGAGCAGGGTCAAGGGGCATGGCTCACTGTGCAATCTGGATGCGAGCCTGTCCCCTCTCCAGGCCCATACGATGGCCTGACAGTGGGTAGCATTGTGGGGGCAGGAGCAGGACTCCGGCTGTGGCTGGCCCTCACTGTTCCAGGCTGGCCCTCACCAAGCATCCCAAATACACAGGACAGCCACCTGACCCCTGAGCCTCTCTGCCCGTCCTGGGCAGGTCCCTGTGGGCATCAGGAAGCTGACACAGCCCCCAACCACACACCGACCTCCCGTTTCCCATTCCCAGCCTCGTGAAGGTCCTGGGTGGGCAGGACGGGTCTCCAGCCCTGACCTCAGGCCTGTTTCCCCTCTGTGGCCTGGGAAGGACTTCTTCCGTCCAGAAGGTGTAATTTCCCTGCAAGCTGGAATCCAGGCTGGCCGGAGGCTGGAGGCCCCCACCCTCCGCCCCGGCTTCACAGGCCCACAGCCTTGGGTGGTCAGCGTGCAGGTGAGCAGCCCACGCGGATGGCTTCTTCACAAGACGGAACCCAAACCAGACACAACCCGGGTGGCAGCTGCTCCGAGGGAGGCAGGACGAGGGATCGCCACCTTGGGCCCAGCGCCTGTCCCTGTGCGACAGGACATGGTCACAGGCAGAGCGCTTTCCTCTACGTTTATTGCAACGGCTACATGGCTGACAACGCTCACAACTTCTCAGAAACAAAACAAAGCCCCACGCAGCAGCGTCACCAATGTCTTCTAGGTTACGCCGGCCAAGGCAGGGCCCGGGCCAGAGCCGCTCTCCGTGGCCTGCAGTGTGGATGCGGGTGGGCAGCGAGCACCCTGAGGGGCCGGCGAGCCGTTGTCCTGGAGGCCCTGGAAGTGCAGGACAGAGGCGACACTGTGACGTGGACAGGACTGCACCCGCACACCCGCCTGCCCCACCGCCCTCCCCACAGTGGCCCTGTGAGGGTGTGCGGCCACACGGCTGTGGAAGCCACAGGAGGAGTGTCCAGGACGCTCATGGGGCTTCCAGGCTCCAGAAGTGGGCAGCGTCCACTCATATCTTTTTGTAGAAAATGAAGAACAGGCCAGGAAGGTGACACCATGGTCAGGGCAGCTGGACCCAGGCCGGATGCCTTGCTCTACGCCCATCCCTGTTCTACCCATTCTCAGACCCACAGGCCACATGGAAGCTGCTGGAAAGGCCAGGAGAAAAAGAGAAGCCGAAGCCCCACACCAGGGTCCCCAAAACTGTCCCCATGCCCTGCAGGCTGCCTCACCTGACACCATACAGAGACCCCCCACGGTGGCTCCGCCACATCCACAGTGGGGTGATGGTGGCAGGCAGAACCATAGAAAGCAAAATCCCCACTGTGCAGGAAGAGGTCCCCCACTAACGGCCTGGTCCCCCGTCCCGGTGTCTGTGGGCCCAGAATGTCCACACGGTGCCCTGTGCAAGGAGCTACGAGCAACAGGAACAGGGGACCACTGTGGAAGACAACAGCCACTGCCCACCCAGGCGGAGGCCGTTGCACAGCCGTGTTGCACTGGCGCTGAGATGCATCGTGGCAGGATGTGTTTGAGGGGCGAGACACCTTTAGTGACAGGGTCAACAGAACAGCATACGGACATCTGTGTCTGAAGCCTTGGACCCAGGGCACAGCCCTGACCATGCCGGGTTTGGACCTGTGGATGCGTGAGGGACACCCGTGTGCTCACTGCAGAGGACAGGCGGCTGGGGGGCTGGGGCCACCCCGTGGCAGGCCGGGAAGCTGGGACAGCACCAGCTGAAGAGGACAAGAGACGCAGAGGGGCATGGAGGAGAAGGAAAGGCAGAGCGCAGAGGCGCGGTGCTCCAGAGAAAGGCAAGGCGGCGTGTGACCCTGCGCCCAGACCACAGCCGTGGATTTCCGTACACACCGAGCTGGACTTGGGCTCCAGGCAGGTCCGGGGCGCGGGCTAAGGGCAATTGCTGCTTCAAGGCTTATCTGTGTCGCCAGAGCTCTGATCTAGTCAGGAAGAGAACGCCACTGTTCACAACAGGCGGGCACGTTCACGGGAGGAGACAGAACGGAAAGCGCCAGGAGGACGAAGTCTCGCAGGCCCCAGCTCTTCACGGGGAAAGGGCTCAGCTGGAACAGGTCCACATCCTGCCTAGCTGCCTCCATGCAAGGCCGCCATCTGTGCCACCCGGAGCACGAGGGCCGGAGGCAGCCTGGGCACACGTGAGCATCCTTGGAGGACGCCCAGGCAGGCCGCACATGGCCAGTGCAGAGCCGGCTGCTGTTCCCTTCTTTTATTTTTTGGCAGTAGTGGGGTTTGACCTCAGGGCTTCACGCTTGCTAGGCAGGCGCTCTACCACTTGAGCCTGTCCGTCAGCCCTTTCTTGTTGTAGTTATTTTTCAGGTAGGGTCTTGTGATTTTGACCGCAATCCACCTACCTCTGCCTCCAACACAGCTGGCGACAGCACGGCGGTCACACCCAATCCCCACCTCGTCTGGTCTGAGATGGGGTTTGTTACACTTTTTCCCCAGCCTGGCCTTGAACCACCATTTCCTCATCTCTGTCTCCTGCGTAACTGAGATTACAGAAGTGAGCCACTGTCCTGGCTTTTGCTTTTGTGTTTGGCAGTGCTGGGTTGAAAGTCAGGCCTTGTGCTTGCCAGGCAGGCACCTTACCACCTGAGCCATGCCACAGCCCGTGCTGCGCTGGTGTGCTGGTGTGTCACCAGCGGTCCTGGCACACGTACCTACTTGCTGGCTCGCTTGACAGAGGCGAGGGCCACTCACTGTGTAGCAGCATATTTGCTCGTGTTTGTGGCACTGGGTTTGAACCCACAGGAGCCACGCTCTGGCCCTGCTGCTTCAGGTATTTTTCAGACAGAGTCTCACTAACTTCTTGCCTGGGCTGGCACTGGACCACAATCCTCCTCCTCCACCTCCTGGTAGCAGGGATTACAGGTATGCCCCAGTGCACCTGAACCTGCTTATCTTTTTGGTGGACTGGACTTGAGCTCAGGCCTCATGCTGGCCAGGCAGGCCCTCTACCACTTGAGCCTCTCCAGCAGCCTCCTCATTTTGTTTTTTGAGACAGGGTCTTTACTCTGCAGCCCAGGCTGGCCTAGAACTCGCCACCCTCCTGCCTCAGACTCCCAAGTGCTGGGACACAGTTGTGGCCACCTCCTGGACAGGAACAGCAGGCCCCTGAGGCATCCAGAGCCAGCCTCACCTAGCAGGGCTCTCTCTGCCTGGGATAAGTTCATGCCCTGGATGCAGTAGCGATGCCAGAGAAATTGTAGGGGCCTGGCATTACCGTTATGCCAGCGGCCTGCTCTTCTGGTGGCGTCCCAGAAAAGGGAATGTGGCCCTGTCCTTACATTAAGACCCAGAAAAACATCACTCAGCTCCGTGATCACCATAAGTCAGGCTGAAATGACAGGGCCAGGACTTAACAGTGGACACGCACAGAGAGGAGCCATGGAGACACCCACACCCTTTATTTACAGAGCAAACAACCACCACAGCCCACTCTGGCCATGCGTCCTCCACCCAAGGGAGCCAGGGAGCTGTGTTCTGGCTTAAAGCGCACCCCCGCCCACAGGCCCATGCCGTACACCGCTGACGGGCTCGCGGATGCCCTTCCGCAGGAGCCCAGGCCGTGACCCTCCTTCCAGCCCATCTTCTGCAGCATCTGGAAGCCCAGGTTCTTGTCGGTCAGCTTCTGCTGGACAAAGTCCAGATCCTTTGCTTCTGAGGAGACAGACGAGGGCTTGAGGACACTCTGCATGTGCTGCAGCAGATTGTCTTCCCTGCTTCCCACTTCTGACGGGCTCGCGGATGCCCTTCCCGCAGGAGCCCAGGCCGTGACCCTCCTTCCAGCCCATCTTCTGCAGCATCTGGAAGCCCAGGTTCTTGTCGGTCAGCTTCTGCTGGACAAAGTCCAGATCCTTTGGCTTCTGAGGAGACAGAGAGGGGCTCGAGGACACTCTGCATGTGCTGCAGCAGATGTCCTTCCCGCTTCCCACTTCCCTCCCGGCTGCCCCCGCAGGGGCGGGTGTGTCTCGGGTCAGAACTGGAAAGTGGCCCCAGGTGCCTGTGCCCACTGGCACTGAGGCTGGGAAAGCAGGTACGTAGGGGGATGGCCCCGTGTTGACGCTGGATGGCCAGCAGGGCCTCCGCCCCGTTTCCTCATGTGTCTGTCTCTCTGTCCCGGTTCTGGGTCAGGTACCAAGAGCTGACACTGCTAAGAATGAGCCCAGGAAGGACACCATGGACAGGAACCAGGGGAGGCTAAACCCTCCTACCTCCTCCAGCCAACAAGGCTGAGGTGGAGTTCCACTGAGTTGTCGAAACTGAGGCACACCTGCCCTATGGGGACCAACTGGATAGCACGACCCTGCTCTCTGCTCCTTTAAGTCCCAAAAGGGAGGGAGGTGGCCAGGAAGCACAGTGTGACCAGGGCTTGGCAGCAGGCATGGTGTCCCAGTGGTTGGTGACCATTAATTCTGTGTTTAACAAACAGCCACCATGCCCGGCTCCTGTAGAGCTGTGGGGAAGCCCCACCCAGGCTGGTGAGGGGCATGGAGGGGAATTGCAGCGGTGGTCCCCTGGGCACCTGCTGTCCCCAGCAAGAGTGGCCAGGTGCAGAATCCCCAAAGGAAAGTAGCATTAGCAGGAAGTTCCTACCTGGGGCACAGCCTGGACCCACCTGAACCACCTGCAGGCTGGGTGTGAGGGCTGTGCCCTTCCCAGGCCACACAGCTCAAAACCCAGGATGGCCATTAGGACAAGAATGTCACCCCTACACGTGTCCCCAGCCACCAGAGTACACAGCAGCTCTGTCCCCCTCATGACCAGTCCAACCCTCTGGCCATACCCAGCTACCAGTGAGTCTCCCCAGTGTCCCTTGTCACCTCCCCATGCCTGGTACAAAGAGGCTCCCTAAGTCTGGGTCTCCTAGGCCCCCTTCTCTACCTGCCCACTCCACACTGCTCTCCAGAGGGGGCACATCTCTGCCCAGACCCTGCCTGTGTCCTCAGAGCCTGTCAGAATGGCTGCGGCAGTGGCGACTGTACCCTGCGGTGAGGACTGTACTCCTGCCATGCCATGGTGGCCTCTTGCTGACGTGGGATGACCCTCGCCTCTGCCTCCTCCAGGCCACTTGATTCACGACACCCCCACCCTGCACCCGGCCTGCTTCTCTACCCTCAGTGCCCCCTCCACCAAGTGGCACCTGTTTTTTGCAGCCACCTGGGTGGGCAGCAGCACGTACCACGCGGAGGCATCTCTCTCAGAGGGCAAGCTGAGCTTCCCTGTGGCCAGGTGCTCTCCACTCACCTCACCCGCAGGCCCTGCTCACCCGCTGAAGCCTGCTGTGCTTTGTCACTAGCACTCGGACTCCATCGGACCCAAGTTTGCTTTCTGAGCCAGGTGTCACTGTGGCCACCGCACCTCACCACAGGACGAGGCCTCTGAAGCCCCCGAGGGAGGACACAGGCGGCTTACCTTCTTCTTGGCCACCGGACGGCCCCGAGGCCTGTCATAGGCGATTCGCACTGGCTCGTGCACTGGAAGACAAAAGCCAGACACTCGTCCTCGTGCACATGCCCTTTCTCAGAGACTCCATACGACCACCTCTGCGAGGGCAGAGACCCGTGCCATCCCACTTGCCAGCTGCGGGGGACCTCGGATCCTTTCAGGAATGGCTGTGGGCATGTCACCCGAGAGTCCACTCAAACCAAGAGCCCTACCCATTTACAGCACAGGACCTGCTATCTGGCCACTTCCCATGGCCACAGTAGGCCAGTCCCTCAACAATGCCTTCCTGGCTCATCTGCCACCTGCCCCACAGGCAGTCCTGCCATCCATGAGGAACCTCTAGTGGAGACGCCATGCTGCTCTGAGGGTGCAGGATGGCGTTATCAACAATGACAAAGTGAGGACATGGCTGCTCTGGTGCTGCAGCCACCCCAACACCCACAGTGCCTACACAGACACCACATGGGCCTGACAGCACCCCGGAGAGTTCTGAAGGACCTTTGCAATCCACTGCAATGCCAAGGTTCCCTCTCACTGACACGGAGACCGTTCTGGAGGGACACTGTTGCCTGTGACCGGTCCACCCCAGATCTTCCCACCTCACTGTCATGGCAGGTCTTCAGGGGCACAGAGGATGGGCCACCCTCTGAGGTCGAGGGCAGGAGATGGTGGGGATGAGCCAGGCCTGGCAGAGGCACGAAGTGGCAGGAGCCACCGCTTTGTGACCGGTGAGGGCCAGAGCACTCCAGAGTACGAGTGTGAGCTGGGCCACAGGCCGCTCGGTGGTTCAGCGTGCGTGGGCTCAGGCCCAGTTCCATCACCAGCATCGCAAACCAACAGACTAGAACCCGAGAGCAGAGAAACCCGTATGGCACTGGCTGCTTTGGCCTTAGCCAACCCAGCCTTGCGGGGCGTCGGGAGGTGCTGGGCCTCCAAGGCACTGAGGCCACCACGGGGTCTGGTCAGACACCAGATGCCTGGGGCCGGGCTGATCGTGGGGCTGCAACTTCAGGAGTGGCAGGAATGATGGCACACCCTCCCCAGCCCCCCAGGAAGGACCCACTTGGGGCCTGGGCTCACCTTCTGGCTCGGGGACGAGGCACGCCCTCTTGGGTGCTGGGATCACGCCAACCTTCAGAGACTTGCTACTCGTCCTCTTCCGGGGTGGGCAGGTGCCCGTGGTGGCCTGTGGAGGGCCAAGAGCTCCCGCTGGCCCAGCCTCGGCACCTTCACCAGGGAGGCCCTCGGTGCCCTCACTCTTGCTGGCTCCTGCTTCTGGCCTGCAGGCGCCGTGAGCGGGGGCCTCCTCTGCCCCCTCATCTTCCTCGTCTTCCTCCTCGTCCTCCTCGGGTACCAGGTCTGGGCTCTCCAGCACAACCTTGGGCTGAGGGGTCTCATCGTCCAACACCCCCTCCCCTTCCACGAGGTCTGGGGGGCTCTTCTGCGTGTCCCCACCCTCGCCACTGGCGTGCAGGGAGAGAGGGGATGGCGAGAAGGAGATGGATGGGCACAGCTCCAGCACTTTCTCGCGGTAGAACTTGAAAGCAGAACTGTTTTGGTCGTGGAGAAACCTGGGAAGTGGAGGAAGAACCCTGGGTAACTGAGGGGCAGGGGTAGGGCACGGAGGGACAGCTACAGGGTCGTGGCGTGGCTCATCACTGAGGGCATACATGGATGACCAGAGAATGTGCTGGGACAAGCTGAGTTTTTTTTTTTTTCTTATTTTGGTGACGGGGTCTGGCTCAGCAGCCCAGGCTGGCCTTGAATTTTGGTCCTCTTACCTCTCTGCCTCTGGCTCTACCTCCTGAATGCTGGGATCACAGGTGTGCACTATAATGCCCAGCTTAAAAGCTGATAAATTTGAATACACAAAATTACCTCTAGCCAGATGCTGGAGAGTCACACCTGTAACCCAAGCTACTCAGGAGGCAGACATCAGGAGGATCGTGGTTTGAGACCAGTCCAGGAAAATACTTTCTGAGACCCTATCTTGAAAATACCTAAGGCAAAAATGGGCTGGTGGAATGGCTCAAAGGTAAGAGTACCTGCCTAGCAAGAGTGAGATCCTGAGCTCAAATCTGTCCCACCCCCCAGAAACATTGTGCATCACTAGAGGGAATATAAATGACAAGGGAGGTGCAGTGAGGCCTCCACCCAGCACCCACATGCACGAGCAGACAGATGGAGACTGATGGGCCAGGTGCTGGAGGGCGGGGAAGGACGGCAGCCTGAGCTGTCCAGGCTGCTGGAAGTGCAGCACGCATGCCCACTGTGGAAGACAGTGTGGCAGTCTCTGTGATGTTCAAGGTGGACAGAAACAAAGGTGTGATGCTCCATGGCTGAATGCGAAAGGCTGTGCTGGATGAGAGCCACAGAAAGGGCAGTGGTCACTGCCTGAGCATAGTGATGGAGATTCTAGAACATGCAGGCTAACCTACAGTCAGAGAGAGCTGGGATGGGCAGGAGGAGGGAGAAGAGAGGCCAGAGAAACATCTGTGTCACTGTGTTGGCTGCAAGACTGATAAAGGACTGAAGCCTGCAGTTTATGGGATGGCAATTACACCACGTGACTTTCTGTCCTGCCTAAGGCTCACCACAGCGGGCCTCTGGGCACGGACTGCGACCTCTGAACTAAGCCAAAATCACCCTTTCTTGCTCAAGACTCTTGGCTCAGGTGTCTGTTCCAACCATGGAAAGTGACTGGCACAGGTGATGCCACATCACCCTTTCTGAAGGTCCCAAGACCCCAATGAACACAAAGGGATTGTGACACTCTTGGACGGGGCAGTGATGAAAAGCACACTGTGAAGTGAGGAGCAAGCAGAGGGTGACTAGGCAGTGCCCACCCACTGTCTCACTGCATGTCTGCCTGACAAGGAGAGAATGGACAAACAGGGCAGCCAGACTTCTCGGAGCTCAACTTTTGTGATCTTTACTCACAACAAAGTGTGTTACAGTTCAAATAGGAAGCACAGAAGAAAAGAAAGAGCCCTGAAGCTCAGTATGAGCAGAAGGCAGGTGACAAAGGGGTGACACTGCACCCCAGAGCAAGGGCCCCTGTGGACCTTGAGTGCAGTAGAGGGGTTGCATTTCAGATGCATTGATGTAGCAGGGAGGAGGAGCTGAGGAAAACAGACTAGGTCTGAGTCCTGATAAAGTAGCAGGGAGATAGGAATGGCATAGCAGAGATAAAACCTGAGAAATCTGAACACGAGGGAGGTCACATAGCAATGGGGAAGGGAAAAGTCACAGAGCACTAGGGTAAAATAGCCAATAAAATTAAATATAACCATATATAGATTAGACGTTGCTTTTTGCTTCTGTAGCCTGCTTTCAAGGATATATAAGGTGAGACCCCTTTGTTCTCGGGGCTCAGCCTTTGGACATGAGTCCACTGGGCCTGTGCTGGCACAATAAAACATTGCTTCCTGTTAAACTGCCTCAGTGTCCGGTATCTCAGCTTGAGATTCCTGAAACATTTCTTGGGGTCTCATTTGCTGAGATTGCAGAGATGGTGAATTATCACCTCCCCTGTCTCTGGGGTGCATCCCCCAGACCACGGGGAGAAGATCCCACCAGGCGACAAGGGACAGTTTGATCTGGAGGAGGGATTCCTCTTCCCAGCGAGTTGGGGTGAGGGCCTCAGACAGACACACAACAGAACCCGGGGAGGCACAGGAACTGCGAGGGGAGGGGAGCACCACCCATCAGACTGGTAAGAACCCGGGTTCAAATTCAGGCCTGCCTCAGGAGGCAGAAGGAGAGAGACTGGTCACCTCCTAGGGATCCCCCCAGTGATCCTATTTGGGGTGAAACTGGGTCTCTCAGGCTTAGGAGTGGGGCAAAAGTGTGTGAGACACCTCCAGGAATTAGGGAGGTTGAGCTTTTCCAGGAAACAGCCATAACTGAGGTTAAAGAATGGGTAACAAAATGTTCAGTTCCAAAGAGAGAGACTCCCCAGAGAACAGACGCAAAATCTGCCATGCCACCGGACAGCCCTCTGGGTATAATTTAAAAGTTTTTTTCTTTTTTGTGAAGTGCACTCTAATTGTGTGTGTGTGTGTGTGTGAATTTGTGTGGTGTGTGTGTGTATACAGCATGCTTAATTTATAAAACTGTGTGTGTGTGTATAAGCATCTTCAAAATGGTTTTTAAACTGCTGTTATAAGGTTAATGTGATTCTCAAGGTAACAAAAAACCAGGGTGTTTGTTTTAAAGATCTCTGTTATAAACTGCTTAGACTGTTTACACATGAATATGTGAACATCTTGAGGATGATTCTTACTATAAAGTCAATGTAAGAAATTATTACTCTGTTGTTCTACTGCTAGTTTTAAGAAAACTTATTTCAAGCGAGTTTCACTAGGATGCAGGCTTTCAGGGGTTAACACTCTTAAGGACATTTGCAGCAGGAATCTTAAAATTTGGGTAATTAAAAATTGACCTTAGCCTGTTTCATTCTGTCACAAATAAAATCTGGGATTTAATTCTCTTTTATAATAAATGGGTCTATTAGCAAATGGGCCTTCTATAAGTTGTTTTTATACAAAAATAATTTTAAGGTTACTTTCTTCCTGTTTTTTGTCATACAAATACAAGGTCCTAAGTTAAAAGGGTTTATGAGTTGTTTTCAGCAAATATTTCAGCAAAAATTACATATGTAATATATTAAGGATATGGTTTTTAAAAAATAAAAGATTAAAAAATACTTTTAAATAAAAGAAGATAAAAACAAGCTCCCCCAGAAGATACCGAGTTAAGTTGTCATAAAAAGATGGAGCTTATAAATGCTTATGTAAGTGATTGAGTTGACTAAAATCCAGTTACATTAAAGGTTTTGTAAGATCAAAATTTAATGTACTGATGCTAAACTAAAACTTAATTCTCTAAGCTCATTACAACAAGGCTATCTTAAAAATATTATATTGCTCTTGGTAACATTCAACCAAAAAAAAAAAAAACTGTCTTAAAAATGGGCTTGTTTTGTCAAGACAACTGTCAGGAATTTTTGGTGCTACAGGTGAATCCACAAATTTGGCAAGACAATGAATTTATTAAAACACAGAGAGACAAGAGGCTGCTGAGCACAGGGAGTGCTGCTGCACTGATATGAGGGTTGCGACAGATTTACTTATAAAAAAAAAAAGCCAAAGTGCTCCCTCCAGGAAGCACTCCCTCCTCTTCAAAAAGGAGCACTACACTGGAAGCTAAGACCTCCAGTTTTTATTGGAGTCACCAGAGTGGAGATGTTAGTCCTACTCCTTCCACATGTCAGTGGAGGGAATTTTTTCCCTGGGATGGCCATACTGGGCCTGTTATTTTAGGGGGCTCCACTGACTACACGCTGGTGGGATCCTGCTGTATGTCATGAGCCATCTGTTAATGTCAACATTATGGGATGTGATCCCTTATCAACATATCTGAGCTATGACTCTTGGCCACTATGTTTTCTAACTCCACACTTAGTCCCCATAAATAATTACCTGTGTTCTCTGGTGATTTTTGTTGGGGTTTTAACTACTAAGGTAATTGAGTCATGTTCATTTAAGAGTTGGTTTATGTAAAATTTTCTAGATGACTGCATGGTTAAACTACTGCTGTCTCAAGTGATTCTAATGCAGTTAGTATCCTATCTGTGTCTGTGACTGGGTTATTTGGGGTCACTAACACTGTTCTCCCCAACTGATAAGAAAATCTAAGGTTTTACTTCAAGAGCAACAACTAAATTAATATGTATATATAACCTCTATAGAGCTGTGATGCTGTTGCTTGTTCCTGAATACATAAGTATAAATATATTTACATAATAAATATAATATAAATGTATTTATGCTTTATAAAAAATCACAAATATATTTATATTTTTCAAGTATATCAAGCCTTCTAAAATACAAAATTTAGATACGGTAACAAAAAGTTGGTGATACTGATATACTCTTCTGTTAGTTGCTAAATTGTCCATCAGAATTGTAACCATGACTTTAAGTTTTTGTCATTACAATTCTGATCCTTCTGGGACATTTACAATCAAGTCCATAAAAAAAAAAGACTCTAATAACTACTTACCTGTCAGCCAGGTTAGCTTTTTAGACATCTGCTTTTGTTAGATTTTGTTTTGTATTGTCCTTGTCTAGAAGCCCACTGCCTAAGAGCCACTCCTTCTAAGCCTCTTTGTTGCTTAAATTTGGCCAAAAGTGTCTAGTTGGCACTGACTTCCACCTGATCTGCTTGTTATTTCCCCCCTGACATGGGACCAAAACCATCCAAACAAACAAAATCCAGGAAAAAAACAACTGATCAGGAAAGACCTTTATTCTAAGGCCATTTCACCCTGAACGCGTCCAATCTTGTCTGGTCTCGAAAAATAAGCAGGGTTGGGCCTGGTTAGTACTTGGATGGACTGCTCAGAGACAAGCAGTTTGGAGACAAAGCGGGGAGTGCCATCAAAGATCCAATGGAGTCACTGGTGCCAGACCTTTCAAAAATAACCAAGGCCTAGAGGATTCAAGAAATGGTTCTTATGCATGTGTGGCTATCTGGCATTGAAGCCCTTCTACACACAAACTGATATGTTTAGACAGTCTTCTACTTAAATAGAGACAAAATAACTATTTTTACTGGCTCTAAATATGTCCTTTGATACTTAAAGATAGTAGTTTTAACTTCTTTCAAACAATACATTTTCTTGGACATATATACTGATAATATATTGTTGCCATGGTAATTCTACTCAGTTTAAAAAAACAAAAACAAAAACAAAAGACATTGTCTGGGTAAAAAAATAAAATGTCCAACCATTAAAACCCCATTGGAGGCTGGCAGATTGGTTCAAGTGGTAGAGTGCCTGCCTAGCAAATATGAGGTCCCAAGTTCAAACTCCAGTACTACCAAAAAAATAAAAAAGTGTAAAACCCCATTGGAGGGGCCCTTTGGTTCTTATCTTGCTTCCTCCTATCGCAGTTAAAGTAGCAGTGATTGCTCCTTGGATCCACCACAGTCCAGTCAAACCAGCTTCTCTTGAGTGGGAATGCATACCTGACCCAGCTTCACCATTTAGGATCAACCTCCAGAACATCAATGCCCTTCTTTGGGAGGACTCCACTCCCCAGGGGACAACAGAGGACCACAGATGGTGGGACAGCAGCCCTGCTCTAGTCACACCCAGAAGCTGACTAGTCTGCACAGCAGAAGCTTGAGAAGTCAACTCTCCAACAGGACAAACAGGCTGTTTTTCACCCCAGTTCTCTCACTGTGATGCACTGTCACCCCTTGTCTGTATCTGCTGCTGTAGTTCTCACCCTAGTCCTCATCACAGACTTGGCAGAAACTGCTCCCACTAATTGGACTCATGGCAAAAGGTTTTTATTGGCTCTCTTCTATCTCTTTTGGGCAGGATGCATAATTACTTTTTATTGTTACTGATCTGGTTTCCCTTTGCAGCCCCAGAACCCTCCTCCTGTGACCTATGTCTGCACACTACTCAGGAAGGAAGTGTTGAAACTAAGACTTTACTTTTCCATACTTACTATTCCTGTGCAGGCTCTGTCATCAGGTCATGCACTCAAATCACACCACTTCTCTATCTAGTGTGCTCCCATGGTAATCAGCATATCTGCTTCAACCCCACTTACCACCCTCAGGAGCAGTGGTTAGAGATCAGGAGTGTCTGCCACCCTGGGAACACTGTCAGCCACACCCAGGTGTTTAGTCCTGATAAACCAGTATCAGTGCTCTTTGATGCATGTGCAGCCATAGACAAAGCTGGATGTGGAGGTGTACGCTATGGCTGTGGGGACCTATCTTGAAAAAGAGCCTATACATCAAATGATAAGTGTATGTGCTGGGGAGACAACTCTTGGCCGTGTGATGATGTGGGTTCTTATTATTGCCCTTACTGGGGTTGTGTTTCATGGGCCACATGGCAAAGGGATAAATATACAGCCTCCTTCACAAGGGGACAGCTGCCCCTGACTGCACCCAAGGCACCTGTGACCCTGTAAACTTCACTGAACTTAAGCCGTCCGATTGGACACAGGGACGAATAATTAGTATAAGGATAGATGAAAGGGCCCTGACCCTGGGAGTCTGATGAACCTTAGTTCATTAGTAACCGTTACCCATGAGAGTTCCTCATACCAAGTTCTTCATCCATTTTATGAGGAGATGAGTGAGTTTTCCATTTCTGCCAAAGCTAATATCTTGTTCCTCTCACTGGCTGAGCCTATGGCCCAGACTCTTTTTTTTAATTTTTATTTTATTCATATGTGCATACAATGATTGTGTCATTTCTCCCCCCTTCCCCCGCCCCCTCCCTTAACCCCCCTTACCCGGCAGAAACAATTTTGCCCTTATTTCTAATTTTGTTGTAGAGAGAGTATAAGCAATAATAGGAAGGAACAAGGGGTTTTGCTGGTTGAGATAAGGATAACTATACAGGGAGTTGACTCACATTGATTTCCTGTGCGTGTGTGTTACCTTCTAGGTTAATTCTTTTTGATCTCACCTTTTCTCTAGTACCTGGTCCCCTTCTCCTATTGGCCTCAGTTGCTTTAAGGTATCTGCTTTAGTTTCTCTGCGTTGAGGGCAACAAATGCTAGCTAATTTTTAGGTGTCTTACCTATCCTCACCTCTCCCTTGTGTGCTCTCGCTTTTATCATGTGCTCAAAGTCCAATCCCCTTGTTGCGTTTGCCCTTGATCTAATGTCCACATGTGAGGGAGAACATAAGATTTTTGGTCTTTTGAGCCACCTGGGCAGAAGATGGGTCCTGGGGCTATCACACCCCTGTATATACGCTCAACTGCATCATCAGGCTGCAGGCTCTTGTTAAAATTATAACTAATGAAACTACAAGAGCCCTCGATTTGCTGGAAAACAAAGCACTAAGATATGCAATGCCATCCATCAGAACCGCTTGGCTTTAGACTATTTGCTGGCCTCTGAGGGAGGAGTTTGTGGGAAATCTAACCTGAGCAACAGCTGCTTACAGATTGATGATGAAGGAAAGGCCATAGAAGAGATCACAGACAGAATGAGAAAGCTCACTCAGGTCCCTGTCCAGACTTGGAGAGGTTGGGATCCCAATGACCTGTTTGAATGATGGCTTTTCTGCCTTAGGTGGATTCAAAACCCTGATGGGGCAATGGGCCTGATCCTAGGAGCGTGCCTATTCTGCCCTGCCTGGTTCCTCTGGTGCTATGGTCTATAAGGATGGTTCTGGAGGCCGTGATAGAAAGGAAATGGCCACACAGGTAATGATGCTGTGGAAATACAAACCCCTAGATCAAGATGATGCTCTCTGACCCTAGGTGGGACCAAGCATCAAAGGGGGGAACAATGTAGCAGGGAGGAGGAGCAGAAGAAAACAGACTAGGTCTGAGTCCTGAGAAAGTAGCAGGGAGGTGGGGATGGCACAGCAGACAGACAAAACCTGAGAAATCTGAACATGAGGAAGGTTTAGTAGTACAAGGATAAAGTAGCCAATAAAATTAAACATCTCCATATACAGATTAGACCTTGCTTTTTGCTTCTGTAACCTGCTTGCAAGGGTATATAAGGTGAGACCCCCTTGTTCTCAGAGCTCAGCCTCTGGACATGAGACCACTGGGCCTGTGCTGCACAATAAACATTGCTTCCTGCTAATTGCCTCAGAGTCCTGTAACTCAGTTTGAGATTCCCGCAACACTGAAGCACACAGAAGCACTGTGTGCCCTTGGCCTATTCACTGCAGTGCTGGTTGGGTCTGGCACCACCCACAGCAGGACCCCAGGTCTTGGCTTTCCCTATCCCCTGGGGGAGGAGGACGGTAGTCCAGGCACACTGCTAACAGAGGCAGCCTGGGATGATGCAAGGTTTTCTTCTAAATTGTACTTTTCATGTGGTAATAAATAAATAAAACCCAAGAAAAGACCAAGGAAATGCTGGGTGCTGGTGGCTCACGCCTGTAATCCTAGCCACTCAGGAGGCAGAGATCAGGAGGATCAGTTTGAAGCCAGCCTGGGCAAATAGTTACCTACACCCTATTGTGAAAAACACTCATCACAAAAAAAGGCCGGTGGAGTGGCTCAAGGTGTAAGCCCTGAGTTCAAACCATAGTACTGAGAAAATAAACAAAAAAAGACCAAGAAAATGTCCCCCGGCCAGCTCTGGCAGGAGAGGCTCCACAAGTGACAGGCAGGCCCAGCTCAGAGGTGTGCAGGGCCCAGCTGCCCCTGAAGGCCACCAGCGCCTGTCAAAAGCAGAACCAGGCTGTGCCTGGCCAGGCCTCTGGCCCACGGGCATGTGGGGTCACATGTGGCAGGCTGGGCCTGGGAGGGAGGGAACAGGAGGTCCCCAGGCAGACACAGACAGGGCAGAGGCTGCAGGGAAGGGCAGCACAGAGCTCATGCAGACACCAAAGAGCAGGCACCGCCCCACTGGACCCCAGAAATGCCCCAAGAAGTGTAAGTTTTCATCTGCATGTGTTCATTTTAGTAGTGCTGGTGGTGGAGGCCAGGGCCTCAGGCACCCAGGGCAAGCGCTCACTGCTGGGCCACTCCCCAACGCCACTGCTCCTCTTTTAGTTAGACTGGGCCACAGCTCCCCTGCAGGTCTGGACTCTGCCAGGAACCCAAGACCCAGGCAGCTCCTCTCTAGGAGTACCTCATCACCCGCCTTGTAAGAACCCCAGAGTCATTTCCCCCAAAATAAACCCCTTCCAAGGCAGGGCTCTTGACAAATGCCTTTTCAGTAAGTTGTTGAGCGTGCACTAATGCTCCCAGTACACCAGCCCTGTTCCGTGGCCTCCAGCTGGGTGGGTCTGAGCTGACCTCCATGTGAGGACGGCAGGGTGTGGCACCCCTCCCAGTAAGGACCCGAGGATGTGCATCACCATCAGAGGGGCCTGCTCACCAAGTCAGTTTCACCTGCCCACCCCCTTCGATGCAGACACAGTGTCCCTGCATGCAAGCTTTTCCTGATGACCCTATGATGACCCAGCTGCAGCGGCCATGACTTACCTGGTCACACCAAGACAGGAGTGTCTGCAGGGCAGCTGCACCCACAGGTAGTGCCTGTGGGGGTGCTGTAAGAGACAAGGGTACGTACCAGAGATCGGGGTTATCCGTGCTGTTCTCTATGCTGAACTGCTCAATCTCGGGCCCCACCTGAGCGACAAACCTGGCCAGCTTCTCTGCAGTCTCCATGGTCTTCATGTCAACTACAAAAGAGACTGCAACTGTCACAGCTGTGGACACTGACTATAATGACACCCACATCCCTCTCTGCACCTCACCAACTTACAGGCAATGTGCCAGGGTTGCTTCTCAGCCTGTCTTGGAGGCCCCAGGCAGCTCCTGCCCTTCCCTCATGCACGCACCCCTGGGTTGGCTATGGGTGACAGGCATATGGTCACCACACTGTCCTAGACGTCCTGCTGTGAGGAGCCTCAGGATGAATGGCACCCAGGGCTCAGCCGAAGCACAATTTGAGGGGCTCGGGCTGCGTGAGGACATGGTGTGGGCAGGAGGCGTCACCACAGAGGAGAGGGGAGCTGGCAAAGGGCAGGTGCACCAAAGAGAGAAGGCAGCCAAGAAGGGGTCACTAACACCAGTCAGCATGGAAGCTATGCAAGGCAGGAGCCCACAGTGCACAACTAGAGGGACCTGGGAGAGGAGGGGACAAGAGGGACTGTCAAGCCATGGATTCAATCCTGGGAGAGAGCTGGGGTGCAGCTCAGGGGTAGGGGCCTGTCTAGCATGTGTGAGGTCATGAGTTCAATCCCTAGCACTGACCAAGGGCTGGAGGAATGGCTCAAGCAGTAGAGCATCTGCCTTGCAAGCACGAAACCCTGAGATCAAACCTCAGTCCTACCAAACAAATAAAAACCAAAACAAAACCCAACAGAAATACTTCAGAAGAAATGGTGTCTGTACTAGACACATACAGACCTTCCTCCACCCTATACAAAACGATATAACAACTGAGTGCACAGACCGTATGTTGTATGAGGTGTCACAAGTCACCGAGACTGACAGGTGTGTGGGAGGAGGAGCAGGTGTGAGACGGCAGGCAAACCCTGTGCATTTTATGGAGATAGGAGTGTGGTGGATTTTGGCACCTGCAGGGGTCTGGAACTTGTCCCCCAGATTGTGGGGGACAACAGTGTAAGAACGGAATCACAGGCTGCTGCCCACATCAGGAGCACCGAGGCTCTTGGTGCATCTGTGCCAGCTCTGCTCTCAGGAGATGAGGGGGTTGCCAGTGGCTCTAGGAAGGAGCGTGTGAGTGTCCCCATCCACTCAACCTGGCCAGTCCCCAGGTACTCCCTGCCACCCAGCCCCACCAAGTGCTCACTGCCCCGGCTGTGGAGGGACTGGGATGAGGGGGAGTGAACACCCACCATCAGTGGACAGGCAGGGAGAGGAGGTTGGCAGGGCCTCCAGGATGTCTGCTCCTGGCCTGGGGGTGGGGCCTGAGGCTTCTGGTCTGGGTCCTGGCGGGTCATTCCTGTTGACATCACTCCTGCCTGACAAGGACGGCTTGGCCTGAGAGGAGCCTAGAGCCTGCCGGCCCTGGGACCTGAGCTTAGTGGCTGTGGACAGCAGTGTCTGGGTGCCGGTGGTGGCTCGCCTGGCCTTCCAGCCCCGCAGGCCCTGGGCGCGGAGCAGCCGGCGTCGTCCCGGGAGGAGCCTCTTCTTGAGGCTGTGGACAGCCCGCGCGTACAGCAGGGCCCGCATGGCGCACTCGGCTGAGGTAGGTGGCCGCTCAGGTCCGGGAGCGCTTGGGCCCTTGCGCTGCGCCTCTGCCAGCTTCAGCTTGTAGTACTTATACTCCAGACTGTCCTCGTCAGCCAGGAACCTGTGTGACAAGATGCATAAAAGGACACCTGTGAGGACTCCACCCGCACATCTTTCACACCCCCTTCCTTAGTGGCGGCCACCCTGCCACCCTCTGCTGTCCGAGGACCCAGAGCAGGTCACCCAGCCTGGGTGACCACAGGACTGTCAGAGCTGGACTGATTGCTGGCTCAAGTCCCCCATCTCCAGTGTGGACAGCTGTGAGGGTGGGCAGCTCAGTGGTCGTGGAGCCCTGGAGGCTGCACAGCACCAGCACAGCACCATCAGTTCCCTGGCAGGCCTTTGGGTAGCCAAGAGCTGTTGTGACAGTTCTTACCCACGTGAGAACATGGTGAAATCAGAATCACAGTGAGGGGAGTGGCAGAGCCAAGAGAAGGCTGAGCCACACAGACTAATGGATGGGGGGGCAGGTGTCCACAACCTGGTGGTGAAACAGCGGCCACCAGGAGTGTCCCCCATCAACAGCAGCCACCCAAACCACTTTGGTCCTCACTTGCTTCCTTCACACAGGCTGACAGAAGTGTGCTGGTGGAGCTGTGGCTCCTGTGGGCTGTGCACTGCCACCCTCTGCATGCATGGGGCTTGGGTCCACGACCCCACTGCACCCCAAAATGCAAGGACACTCAAGTCCCTGGCATGAACCACGCAGCATCTGCCTACAGCCCATGCACGTCTTCAGCCTACGCCATCTCCACTTGAGTTCAGATCCTGAGTGGCCCCCAAAGGTGCCCTGCCTGTGGCGTTTTTGGGAGGTGGTGGAACCCAGGAGGTGTGGCCTTGTGGGAGGAATTTAGGTCACTGGGGAGAAGCCCTAGAAGGGGATAGTGGGACCTGCCCCCTCCTCCTCTTCCTGGCTACAAGGAGGTGAGCAGCCTTCTTGGTCACATGCTCCCCACTGCTGGACGTTCTACGTCACCACAGACTCAAAGGGATGGGGTCAAGTGACCATGGACTGAAATCTCTGAACCCGAGCCAAAGTAAACCTTTCCTCTCTTTGAAATGATTCTCTCGGGCATTTTGTGGCAGCCATAGGCAGCGGCGTGAGTGCTAGTTGCTGCACTCTTTGGGGAGCCACCCTTCTAGTTGCAGTTGTAGAGGCAGCTGTGGCTTGGCCACCCTCTGGTGTTGTGTCTCTGAGCTGAGGGAGGCCCCGCATCGAGGCGTGTGCTCACATGTTTCACTCTGGTCTGTTCCATGTGTGACATGCACAGAGCTCTCCTGGCATGTGTCTGTTCACGATCTCCTACCTTGCAGTCCCGCACAAGCTCACAATCAGCGTGTGACAATGAGGAACAGACACAGAGGCTCCTCAGTCTGATGAGTCCTGCAAGGTGACAATGCTTCTCACCACCCCCCAACACCACCGAACACCCCAGCACAGCCTGGCAACCTTCACTGCACTCACATCTCCATGGCCACCATCACCACACGAGGCCAACTATATTTATAAGGCATCGCCAGGTACTCGTGTGAACTATTGATTCTGTACCGAAACTAAGACAAAGCAGCTGTCCTACATTGCTAGTGAGGGAAAAGGTCAAAGTTCAAAATCAGAAGTTGCCTGGGGTTTGACCCCCAACACCCCATCCACACACGAAGCGCACCCTTATAGTATCAGCTAGTCAGGAGGCTGAGGTGGGTGGATGGCTTAAGCCCAGGAGTTCAAGAGCAGCCTGGGCCGCACAGGGAGGCCCTGTCTCAAAGCCACACACACAGCGTGGTGTCTACTGAAGGTGCACTGCTCCCGCACCAAGGCAGCATGGACTAGCCCAAGCTTCACCCTCGGTGAGCTGGGCCACCCACACCTCTGTGAGCACGGCTGACTCGGTGGCTCTGGTTGCTTGACATGATGCAGTGGCACTGCGGGCTTTAGATGAGGTCCCCAAGCAATGACACAGAAGCAGGCAGGCAGCCATGCATGGGGCAGCCATGTGCAGTGCTCACACTGTGGCCTCTGCTGGCTAGTGCAGTAGCCATGGTGATGCCTGCAAGCACTGGCTGGCAGAAGGGGATGGTGACTGCACAGGGCATTCTGCCCCTCAGGTCCCACACAGCCTGCAGGCTCCTCCTCTTAGGATGGGCCAGAGCTGGGAACCTGGTCACTCAGGCCTCTGATGACTTCCCCATCCCTGGCAGACCCAACGCAAGGGTAGCTGGAGGGTGTCAGTCTCAGGCCCCGTGTGTCCCCACACATCAGCAGTGAAAGGACAGAGAACACTTGAGAGGCAGCCCGCTGAGCCTGGCCATGTGGGAGCTGGGAGCCGGGGCCCCAGGCCTGCTCCTCTGCCCATAACCTGGGAGGGAGTGGCGAGTAGCTCCATGCTGCATAGCGGGGCTGGAGTCCCAAAGCAAGGCCACCCTGTGGGCACAGCCACCAGGCCATCCCTCAGCAAGTGGCTAAGCAACTCTGGCGCTGTACTCAGACTGTGTCATCCTCACACCAGGAGCATGTGCTGCTTCCTGCCACAGCTTCTGAGGCACCCGCTCCCCTTTGCACAGTCAGCCTCTCAGTGCTGTGTTCACACAGCTGGATGCTGTGTAGTCTGGGCATCCAGACTCATGACTTAAGGCTGGGGTGAGGCTCAGTGACCAATGCATGCATGAGACCCTGCATTCCTTCCCGGCACCACAAGAGAGAGAAAAAAGAAGCCATAGCAGTGAGGAGTAAAGAGCTAAGAGCTAGTGCCCCTAAGGAGCAGGACAAGAGCGGTGGGTCACGTGCAAGCACTCTGATTTCCATGGTGACTCCCATCCTTTTATGTCGACCACATACCAGCATCACTTTGAGAGTTCAGCTGTACATGGCTGGGGCTTGAGCTGTCACACCTGTCTACTACGTGCAAGGCCCTGAGTTCAAACCTCAGTCTCAATGCCAAAACCCAGAATTCACCTACGCACTGCAGAGACCTCAGCTTAACCTCACCAGTTTCTTCCTTTTCTCTTCCAAACCCCTCTTCCTCCTATAGTCTCTGGGTGACCCGGGTGGAGGTTTGTCCTGACAGAACTGTTGTGGTGGCGGAGCACTGCCATCATGTCTTCCAAAGTCAAGGACTCACTCTCCAGACCTCACGTGGTTCTCTACACAAGCCAGTTCCAGTTCCATGGAGGCAGCTGGGGTTGAGGTTTGAATGGGAGCACCGGTCCTGACACTGTGTCACATGCGTTCAGAAAAGAGAGAGTCACACATGTGGTCTGGCCGGTGTGTGCTGTGCTGCTGCTAATGAGGCCACTCTCCCAGCGGCCTCCACAATCGGGTGCTCACAGCCCCTCAACGTACTCATCACGGGACATCCCTGATGTGCCACCAGCCAGCGGATGTGGTGGCTCCAGCCTCCTGTGCATTTCACCTTCTGCGATAAGCAGGAGCCACTTTCCTGATGTGAAGTGCAGTGCTATTAGGCTGCTCTCAGCTGGAGGGCGGGTGGCCAAGGCTGCAACCCAGCACTCAGGAAGAGGAGGCAGAAGGATGGGGAGGTCTGCCTACCTACAGAGGGTTCTAGGCCAATCTGGGTTGCCTGGCAGCTGAAAAACCTTTGAACTAAGGGCTTTGCACTTGCAAAGCAGGCACTCTACCGCTTGAGCCACACCTCCAGTCCATTTTGCTTTGGTTATTTTTGGAGATGGGGTCTCCTGAACTATTTGCCCAGGCTGGCCTTGAATCTCAATCCTCCTAATCTCAGCCTCCTAAGCAGTTAGGATTGTAGGCATGAGCTACTGACACCCAGCCAACCAAACACTTTGTCTGCATGAGAAGCAATTAGCAAAAGGGGAGGACAGTGCCACAAACACTGGCCCTGAATGGAAAAGAGCCATGTGACATCACTTATCTTCAGTGCACTCCGGGCTGGCAGACCCTCTGCATGTGTACGCCAACCCGGCTCCTCCTTCAGGTGACACCACAGCTCAAACCCACCTCCCGCCCTCTGCTCTCAGCACCATCAGATCGCCGATCTTGGACACAGGAAGGACCTGTAGGGGCAACCTAAGACCCTGCAGGTGGCTGTGTGCAGATCAGGGGCAAGTGCAGGCCTGGCATTCATGAGGTCCTGGGTTCATGCCCAGCCCGGCAGAAAATGAAGTAAAAACGAAAACTCCCTACCAGTAAGCAGGCTCCTCCTTGAGAACGGCTCTCTCTTTGGGAGACAGGTTGCCTTCCAAGATGCGTGTGACAAGCTGCTCGATGGTGTCCACCACCCTATGGTCTGCTCGCTGGGGGACTGCTGGAACACACAGAATGGCTGTCTGAGAAACACTGGTCCTGAGAGTTCTCATTCAGACATCAAAATGGAGAGGAGCAGGACAGCGACACAGAAATGTCCTCCCAAAAGGTGGTACAACAGAGCCTCCCGTGGTCCCCTGCCACCGCCCATAGCCACCTGTGCTCATGTTCTAGGATCACTTAGAATCAAAGTGGAGAATGGGAAGATGTAAGATGTGGCTAGAGGGGGAATGGGGGAGGCCAGAGCAACACAGGAACCTTCTCAAAACGAAACCCAGAGCCAGGCATCAGTGGCTCACGCCTGTAATCCCAGATATTCAGGAGGCAGAGATCAGGAAGATCACTCTGGCAAATAGTTCAAGAGACCCTATTCTCAAAAAAAAAAAAAAAAAAAAAAAAAAATCCCAAAAAAGGGCTTGTGGAGGGCCTCGAGATGTAGGCGTTGAGTCCAAGCTGCAGTACCACGCCCACGTGCACACACATACGCACACGAAAAAAACCTTTATCAGTGGGGCTGACGGGGTGGCTCGGGTGGAGTGCCTGCCTAGCAAGCACGAGAGCATGAGTTCAAGCCCCAGGGCTGTCAAAAATACATATGTAAAAATACATACATAAGTTTACAAGGAAAATAATGCCGATTAACAAAAAAAAATGGCCTAGGTCATCCACAGAAAGTATTTGCTGATACATAGAAAGAAAGCACTGAAGGCTGAACCTCCCCAAAATGAGAGAGCTTCATGTTCTGACCAGTTGTGGCCTGCGTCCTGACCTGTGCTGCTGTGACGGTACAGGATGTCTGCCTGCTCGGTCATTTGATTGAAATCAAAGCCACCATACCTAGAGAGGTTTTCTTCCTGTGCCACCCTTGTCTAAGTCTGTGCTACAGCTTTGAACTTTCAGTGTGGTCCAGGCTGGTCTTGAACTCTGGGCCAAATGACACTCCCACCTCAGCCTCCCAAGGGGAGGTGCCCCTATAAAACCACATCCTTCCCTTTCTGTTGGCCCTTGCTTTACAGAAGTGCTCATCATACAAAACTTTCCACAAGAACATGACACTCAATGTCAGAAGCTCAGGGAGGCGATGGGATGTGGAGACAGACGGCACACACATGGCCATCTCTAGCTAGGCTCCCTTCTATCAGGTCCCCTCACGGGGACTCACTCACGTTCATTCACACAGTGACAAGGCCGTGGGCTCCATCCCCACCACCGCAAACAGAAGCAAGCAAAACCAAACACAACCAAAGAGTCAGTGTGCAAAAGCCTCAGAAAGAACAGGGGGCACTAGAAAAGCCAGGGACCCGCCCACTGCGCACTTACCGTCACGTGGCAGCCCGGGCTTGTCACGGGGACTCGTGGTGCCCTGGCCGTGCATAGGCTGTGGGGTGGCCCTCCTGACCTGCAGTGGGTACCCACTGGCGAGCAGCCAGGCCTTCAGGTGGTCGATGTACTCTCTGCCAAACAGAGTGGAGTCCTCGAAGTTCGGGAAGCAGGCGGGAGAGGGTGCGACGTCCTGGAGGCCAACAGCGTCCAGGATCTTCTCCTGACGGAAGGAGGAGGCCAAGGCGAAGGTCTGGCCCAGCAGGGCCAGTGACTTGCGGCACAGCGAGTTGGTGGTCTCCAGGGCCACGGCCAGGTCGAGTGGCGAGGTGAGCGTCCTCATCTTGACGCTCAGCTCGTAGGCGTTGCAGGCCATGAGCAGCGGCGTGGCGCTCTTCAGGAGCCGGTCCTGCAGCCGCATCATGTACTTGTCGAACGGCTTGATGACCTCAAAGAAGCAGTTTTTGGTCTTCACAGCACCTTTGTCTAAGAGCATGTTTAAAAACTCATTGTCGACTCGGGGCGTTTTCAAGGCCGAGTGCTTTAAGAATTTGATGGTAAAAAAGCAAAAATCTCTGTGCTCAGGTTTTAAGGAGCATTTGAAGGAGGCAAGCATCTTCGCGCAGGTCTCGGTTTCCAGCTCGAAGAGTGTCTGGAAGAGCTGGGAGAACCTGGCGTCGTCCTTGACGGCGTGGAATCCCGCCCACTTGATGATCTCCACCCCAAACCTGGAGAAGACATCGCACTTGTCCACGAGGTCGAAGCTCACCTTTCTCCGGGGGAAGCGGATGTTCTTCAGCTCCAGCCCCAGAGGGATCTTCGGGGTGGGGAAGGGGACATCCTCCGTCCTGGGGCTCAGGCCCAGGCTCACATCAGGACTTGGGGCGCTCTTCTGCAGAAGGTTGATGCCCTGAGTTTTGTTAGTAAGACGATTTACAGTGGGAAGTTTCTTCGTGGCCACGTTTTTCAGTGCCACAAGCTTCCCAACACCACCCTTTGCCGTGAGCAGGCCCTGTGTGTCCCCCTTTCCAAGGAGGGCGCTGTCCTGGCCTCTGGCCTGGGCCTGCCCACTGCCCCTGGGCACAGAGCTGGTCTCCCCTGGGAGGTCCGTGTCACACTCCCGGCTCTCCTTCTCCACACTCTCTTTCGCCAAGTCCCCCAACACGGCAGGACCAAAACTGTACTCCTGTGACCACAACTCTTGAGCAACTGCATGGCCAAGGTCTTGCTCTAAAGAGCCACAAAGTGCAAGCTTCCAGTCCTGGGACTGGAAATGTCCCAATTTCCGGTGGCCGAAGGCCTGGTCCCGGGAGTCAGAGTGGGCAAATTCCAGACTCCGGCTGCCCTCTTTGCGAAAGTAGCTGTCGTCACCAGGAGGGTTGCTGGACCGGAAGGAGGGTCCCGGAAGTGCGTCACCTCTCAGGCCTTCTCGGCCAGCATCTCGAGAGTGAGCTGCGGTGCCGCCGAGCGAGTACCTGCCGTCGCTGGGAGTGTCCTCATACATGTCGGCTCGGGCTCTTGGAACTGTCCTTAAGAGATCTGAAACAAACGATACAAAAGAAAGACAGCACTTCAGGCTGGAGCTTGGAAGCCAATGGCTCAGTCCGCCAGCCGGAAGAAGTGCTTTCTACGTGAGTGTGCGTTGGAAATCCTGATTTGTTGCCAATGTCTGAAGTGTGTGGGGAGGCGAGGCGGGTACACCTACCATATCAGCACTCGGGGTGGAGGCAGAAGGATCATGAGTTTGAGGCCAGCCTGGGTACGCAGAGAGATTTAATCTCAAAAACCAAAACAAAAGAAAACAGCAACAACATAAAAGTCTAAGGTGCCACTTAAAAACCAGATGAGGTGGTGCACACCTACAATCCCAGCTACTCAGGAGGCTGAGGTAGGAAGCGCGTGCCTAAGCCCGGCCAGGCACAAAGCATGAGATCCTAGCTGAAGGACAAACTACAAGCAAAAGGGATAGCAGTGTGGCTCAGTAGAGCACTTGCCTCTCAAGCATGAGGACCTGAGTTCAAACCCCAGTACCACCAAAAAAATCAAACCAACCCTGGACTGACTACAGTCAGCAGTCTGTACCTGTAGGCCCATCCACCTCAGGTGGAAAACATTTAGTAAGACTATATCTACAGGAGCTTTTCCTCATCACCACGCTTGTGTGGCCTTTCCACTGTACTGTGTTGTGAGTCCTCTGCGCCATGGCACTTTATACACGGACTTGAGCATTCTCAGTCTTGGTGTTTAGGGGTCCTCAACTCGTCTCCACGGGCGCCAAGGGACAGGCTACTGTACTATGGATACGGCTCTGTAAGCAGCAGGCCTGAATTTGCCTGTGACCATCCAGCAAAGCTATACAGCAGCGGTCCCCACAGATACAGCTCAAGGTCAGGACACAGACCTTGGCTTGTCACCAGCACCTCCACTCGTGCAGTCCCTTCCTGGCTTGGCAGGCAGCTACAGTGGGGACTTTGGTGTTTCCCCCTCCATCTCTCAGCGACAGCCCTCACGGCCATCCTGGGGAGAATTCCTGGCCCACACTGCCACCACGAGGCCAGAGCCAGGGCTGACGCCACACCGCTACAGCTGCCCTAAAAGTGACTGAGAGGAAAGGCCCATTTGGCCAACTGACCTGCTGTCAGGAGCTAGAAAAGGGGCAGGCAAGGAAGGTAGCAGCACACTGGGAAGTGACAGAAACAGCAACGCCTACTTCTGGCCTCCTAGTGTAGAAGGGGTGATGGGAGACCCTGCAAGAAGCCAGGAACAGAGGGGATGGTGGTCTCAGGCAGGCTTCGGGGGCGGGGGGTGTCTAGCATTCCAGGCTTTCACAGAATCTACAACCTAGGGAAAAAACATCAAATGGAAAGGAAAGGAGAGGTGCTAGGAAGCAGTACTAGATAAGCAGTGACAAGAAGCGAAGGCCAGCTGGGCATGGTGGCTCACGTCTGTGGTCCCAGCACTCGGGAAGAGGGTCACTTGAACTCAGGAGTTCAACATCAGCCTGGGAAACACAGTGAGACCCAGTCTCAGAAAAAAGGAAAGCCAAGGGCTGGCTCACGCCTGTAATCCCAGTTTCTCAGGAGGCAGAGGTCAGGATGATCAGGATGATCTTTGTTTCACCACGCAAATAGATCATGAGACCCTATCTTTAAAAACCCATCACAAAAAAGGGATGGCGAAGTAGCTCAAGGTGAATTACCTGAGTTCAAACCCCAGCACTGCAAATAAATAAATAAATAAATAAATAGAAAAGCCAAGGCCTATACACCTCCAGGTCACTTCTTCAGAAAGGCCTGATGAAGGCCAGCGTCGCACCAGGCCTGAAAGTCACTGCTGAGAAGGGAAGGACACCCTTCCCGGGCAGCTCAGGAAGGAGCCAGGCATGCAAGAGGTGCCACGTTCACTGGCTGCCCTACTCTGACCACCACACGTCTCTCACCAGCAGCCTGCTGAGGGCTGCACCAAGTAGGGGCCACCATGCCAGAAGCCAGCAGAGGGAAGGAAAGGCAAAGAGGCAAGAGTTGGCTTCCAAGCCCTGCTGCCCACCAAACAGCCTGCAGGAGGCCTCATCCCCAGGTGGCTTCACCCACCCCTGAGGCGCAGCCTGGGCTGGCCTGGCCTGGCCTAGACATCAGGAGTCTAAGAAGGCTCTGGCAGAGTTGGGGTGCCCTATAAAAGGATATGCAAGACAAGAGAGGCACTGGCTCCGATCAGGCCCTGCTTGGGGCTCCTTTGCTCTGGTGAGACACAAAGCTGCCAAGGGCTGGGAGCAGAGGGGAAGCCCTCGCAGGTTGTGGGTTCAGGGAAAAGAGCACAGGGGTGAGGGTGGACACAGACATTCCAGCAGGGCACTTCGGATCTTGGTCACAGTACTGAGGGTATGATTAGAGCAGGAGGGCCAGAGGCAGAGGGGGAGGCTGGATTCTGCCAATTCAGTCTCCTCTCAAGCTCTGGTTACTACTCTGTAGTACAGAGTAGCCAGGAACTTGCTGGTCTCAACCTCCCGAGTGACAGGATTACAGGTATGTACAGCCTCACACAGCAACAAAGAGGAAAAGTTGAATAGAGCAGAGGCATGGAGAAAGGCTGAATGATGGACCATGCAGCTGTGTATCAGACGTTCTGCAACCATCTGGTACCTGCTACATTTCCACTTCCCTCCCCTCTAGTCTTTCCTGAAGTAACTAGGACATGTACGAGTGTTTGAGCCTCTAGACAGCAAAGATGTAGGCTGAACATGGTGCACACACCTGTAATCCCAGCACTCAGGAGGCTGAGGCAGGAGGTTCACCAGTTTAAGGCCAGCCTGGGCTATAAAGAGAAAACTTATCTCAAAAACCAAAACAACCCCCAACACAAACATTCTTTATGGACTGGGGATTCAGCTTGGTAACAGAGATTAGGATCAGTGTGAGCACAGCCCTGGGTTCCATCCCCAGCTCCAAAAAACCTAAAAACCTTCTTTAGATGGGGGACGGGCTGGCTGAGAAGATCTAGTGACAGTAATCACCTGGCCCACAGGTGGGTGGGAGCTATGACCTCCTCTAACAGGTCAGAAATGCAAGAACAGGACGGCTGGCACTTGCCCCTTCTTTACCTTGAGCTTTGAACTGAAGAGTGTCGCCCACCGCCTCCCCGCTGGTGTCCACGTGGTACCGCTTAGCCTTTTCTTGTAACACAGCATCAAGAGCGTCCTGTGCAATTCGCCTTGTGGCCATGCTTCCTGCCTTGCAGAGAGAGAAGAAAAAAACACCAAATAACATCTCCTGCTCAGAGCCTGTGCAGGTAGCCTGGTGCCTGGCCCTAGTCTTGGCACTTCAAAGGGAGGGGGAGGTGTGTCTCTGCCCACCTGAAGCTCACAGGTGTGTGCTGGGATGTGTCAAGAAAGGCCTCCACTTCTATTTCTTGGGTACTGGAGGATGGCATGATGGGAAAGGGGGGGGAGGGGAACACCCCTCGCTGATGATGCTCAGGACAGATGGATGGCGGCTCTCTCCCCACGTCGCAGACACACGGGAGAGACTGGAGCTCACCCAGCCTCTGACAGGAGCCCGTGGGCGAGCGAGGCCCCACCTCGTCACAAAAGGTAGTGACAGAGCTCCGTGTGTGCCAGGTCCCCAGGCTGGCTCTCTTGCTTTTCCCCCAACAGCTCACTGGAGCTGTGAGTCCTATTAAGAGTGACAATCCACAGGGGAGGAAGAAAGCAGACATGGGCTCGGTGACCCACCCAAGGTCAGGCACCCGGGACTTGACCTGGCACCGGTGGCCCTGCGAGTGGGGACAGAGCTTGGAAGGACAAGTGGAAAACGATTAAGAGGTGACGCTTGGGATTTCAGTGGCCCTGTCCTTAATCCCCAAGCCGTCCTGCCCGGTGACACCTCCAACTCCACATGCACACCTGCCTGGCAGTCATTTTATGACCATCGCCCATTTTTTTTTTTTTTAAATGGCTGCACCCACTTTTCCCGTTTCTGGACCCTTGCTCTCTGCTGGAGAAGGGCAGAGTGTCCCAGTAAGGTGGCCTGGCTTCTAACCAAGGGTCCTGACCCTCGCGTGCCTCAGTTTCCCCACCTATGGCGTGGACACCTGCTGTGGGGCCTGAGCGAGCCCGTTCTCAACAGCGCCGGGCCGCCGTTACCGCCCCACGAGCCGGCTTCGAGCGGAATGAATGAACCAGTGACCCACAGAGTCCCACGGGTGCGGCCCGCGTCCCCAGACCCACAAAATGGGGAACCGGGCCCCAGAGGCCTCAGCGCGTCCCTCCCGGACGGGTCGGCCAAAGCCCGGGGACCCAGTCTGCGGCGCCATCGCGGAGCCACCCACCCCCGAGCCCACCCACCGACGACGCCGGAGCCCGGGCCTCACCCCGAGCCCACCGCGCGCGGAGCCTCCGCCACCGCCGCCGCCGCCTGAGGCGCTTGACCCGCTGCCGCGAGAGGCGGGGACATGCAAATGAGCTAACGGTCTCCGCAGCGCCGCGCAGGCGCACGCCGCCACCTCCGCCTAGCGGCGCAGGCCGAGGCTCTTCTTGTGCGCAGGCGCAGACCGCCGTTTCGCGCTAATGCGCAGACGCAAAATCAGACCACGCCCCCTCCCCTGTACGCTTGCGCACATGTCCGCGGTCACGCCCCTTGCGCGTGCGCAGACCGATGGTGTCGCGCCCTCTTGCGCAGGCGCGTTGTCCGCTTCTTTTACGCGGACGCTCCCTAAGACAAAAACGTCCCTGCTGGGAGGCAGCTGGTTGCAGACGGCAGAGACGCCGCGCTACGTGGCCGTGCTTGGCTTTACCTGCGCTCTTTGTCACCCTTGGTTACCCCGGGAGCGGTCTGCCCGGCGGAGGGAGGCCGAGGCGAGTCGGCGGCACTGGGCCTGCGCGCGTACGGCGGCCGGAAGGGGCCAGAGGCGGCGCCGCGGGTGACAGCGCGAGCCCCACCCTTTCCCCACGTGTCTGCGGAGACCGGGTGAGAGGAGGAGGTCGCCGCTCCCCGTCGCGCGCGGAGTGGGGCATGGGCGCCGCGGGGTCGGGCTGGCTTGGGGGAAGGAAAGAATTTTAACAGAAGCCGCTGGGGGACCAAATCCCCCGCTTCCCTAAATGTCCTTTTTTTTTTTTTTTTTTCTCCTTTTCTTTTCAAAAATTCATTTCATTCATTCATTCATTCGACACCCGTCCTAGGCAGGGGTGGGGCTGGGAGGCGACACGGTGCAAGCAATTCGGTGAGCCGCGTCGCCCTAGATACCAAGGTTGCAATGCAAAGAATAAGAGGGATGGGGTAGGGAGGGCAAGCAGGAGGTGCTTTCGGGGCCCCCCCTGGATGCTGAGTGGAGATTAGGGGCAGGGGGTGTGGAAGGAAGGGAGAGGTGGGGCCCCCTGGATGC